TTTACCCAGAGTTTTAAGTTTTGGGGAGTTGGTAATACATCATATGTTTCCTTTATCAAAAAGCAAATCCTACTTTGCTCCATACTACATATTCTTTATTCCAACTAAGCTTTTTCTTCTCAACACCGTCTCAGTTCAACCTCTGTCCCTGCTTAACCCTAGCCACTCTCTTTATACCCCTGAACATTTCCTCTTGACTACAAACCTGCTCCTCAACAAGCTTTCTCTTCTCTTTGGGACCTGCTCTACTCCACTTCGGTTGGGCCAAGCCTCCCTGACCTACTTGAACATTACCCACAAATGTCGGTACTGCACTGCCGCTCTCAGATTCCATTTCCTCCCCCTGGTTGGGGTTGGAACCACCTTACTGACCACAGCATCTTCACTCCCAGCCAACAGCACTTCTGTCCATTTAAACTCATCTACAAGACCAAATACTGGGAACCGGAGTATGTCTTTCCCATTTAGTGCCACAGTACTTAAACATCTAGGAACAGCTAGGCTTTTCCTAATGGCAGAGCTACCTAACCTGTACAATTCCTCTGCAGCAAATAATGGAGTCTCATACACATGCAGTGGCCATATCAACCTAGAAAACAATCCAGACTGCAGAGACCTCAGCTTCTCCTTTACTGGAAGACCTGATGAACCTATTCTATCCAGCCCCTCAGCAAAAGCAAGCCCTGAGCGTGTGCTAGTCATCTTAGCCAGGTGCTTCACAAAGAAATGCCTCTTTAGTGTTGGGGTTGCTCCAGGTTGCTTTCTGTCACTTAAAATGCTCTTTACTGCTATCAAAGAGGAATAAGCAGCTCCCAACAAATCTTGCCGGTGACAAAAAGTATAATACACCTGTGATGATAAGAACTACCACGGAACATGAATGGGAAAGTCAAAAGAGTCCCGTTTTACTGCTTTTGGCTCCTGGTGAGCGTTTCCTGTTTAAAGCTTTTGGTTCTCCCCGCGTTAATGAGGATTTCTTCAGGGTAGTCCAGCTTCCTCCTAAAGCCCCAAATCATGCCGGTGAAATGCAGACTCTAAGTTGCTGGTAGGAGTGAGTGTGAGTGTACGTGGTTCCTCTGCTGTGTTTGACACTGTGATGGGCGGACTTGTCTGGTGTGGACCGCGCCAGCCCCCCCACCGCGCTACCTAGAATAAGTGTTATTATATGATACTAAGATAAAGTTATAACTGCCTTGCTAACAGGCAATTAGGGTTGTGATTCTTGGCAACTGTTCACTTGACTGATCCAACACAATGTAAAGTGAACTGAATCAGAACGTAGGTCGCTGCAGGTGAATAGAGACATTTCCAGTTAACACTGTGCCTCTGCTGTCTAGACTATTCAGCTCAGTAATGGCAGGTTGTCACATGAAGGGACACATTAACCAACGTATCCATACATGATGTGTCTGCCTGTGTTCCACTGTTTCATGGTTGAATAAATGATCATGATATTCATTTGACTGCCATGTCTTAGTGCTGGGTTTTCATTCCTTCTCCTCTTGGCTTTCGTTAAATTTCCCCAGGGAGCTTCAGCCCCCTGGGTTTGGCTTGGTGTCAGAGTCTCAGCAGCCATGGCACTTAATCAAGCTTTTGCACAGTTATTGGAAATAGTGCTCCATATCCTCTTGGCCATTATAGCTTTTCAACTCCTTTAAAATGCTGAGCCCAGCAGAAGCTATGGCCAGGTGCCGTCTGAAAAGCCCGGGGTGGAGAGCATTGTGTCCCAGGCTTTAGCGCTCCGCCTCTGTGCTGCTGTTGTAGGTCTTTAAGATGTTTCCAACAATTCCAATTCCAAGATGCTGCTGGATGTGGTGGTGTTTCGTCTGATCAGTCCTGTAAAGCCTTGTTCCAACCCCCACCCCGACCTTCCTGAGGACACTTTCAACATGGCTGTCCAAAGTATTCCAAAGTCCTCCCATGGTTGGACTGAGGTTGTGCCTTGAGGAGGACAACCAAACCATTCCAATGTTCTGCAGATATCATATTGTAGTATTTTCAGGCCTCGAGTGCTACGGATCTTTAGACCATCCCATCACTAATTCATGCTCATGGAGGGACTGGGGAGCACTGGGGTGGTTGACCCTACTGGAAACCTAATCTGGATCAATATAGTTGACCTTGGTTGGGATGATACCACACACACTGCTCTCTGGATGGGAGCTCCTTTAATTACATCTGTCTCCACAACAAATGAAAATGACATCATGAGGATAGTTTCCAGGAAGCATTGTGCCTGGAAACACATATGGTGATTTGTTTTCCTAACGAAAAACTGCACACGCCGTGAACAAACTTCTCAGTTATGTATGATGTAAACTTTTTACCTCAAAAGTATTCATGAACTAATTATTCTTCAGATTCATTGCAAGAGAGATGTGATGAAAAATAAAAACTGACACAATAGACAGGACACGAAAGACAATTGACTATAATGACAAATAATAATAACAGTAATATTAATGGAGACAAATCAGTAATATTGGACAACCATCTAACTGAATTTGAATGAATGTGATACATGGCCCTAAAACCACAGGACCCCAGCAAGCTTTTTATCTATACACATATGTCGGTGAATTTATTTAGATCTCATCTCTTCTCAGACTTGGACCACCAGGGAGCTGATCCACTGGTCACCATTATAACAGCCCTCTGACCAAAGGGGAGCTTTTATTTTTAATCAAAGATATCTTAAGGTCTCCCTCTCTGTCTCCACACAGCAAGAAGTGTTCTCAGTTCAAATCCTGCCTGCCTCCGTGTGTGTGGGTTTTCTCTGGGTCCTCCAGCTTCCGTCCACAGTCAAAAAACATGAATTTTAGGTTGATTGGATAAGGATGAATGTTATTTTGAGTCTGTGCCGGCTTCTCTCACCCAGTGACAGCGGAGACTGGCTGGATAAGGTTTAGAAAATAGATGGCTCCCTCCATAAGTGTTACTACACCGTCAACATAACTGTCCCTGCACTGAAATAAATAAATAATAAACAACAAAAACTGACTAAATGTTTTCTGTACATTTTCACTTAAAATGGTGTTTTTTTACGACATCGCACACACGGAGCAGCTTGCAATTAATGTACTTTATTGTGAGATGGAGAGTCATAAAAAATTAAAACAAAAGCAATCACTATAAAAAAAGATGAAGGTGTTTAAAGGGGGGGGGGTCTTACAAAAGTGGGTATGGTTATTAATCCAACTTAAAGAGACAAATTGGCACAAATTAAGAGAAAATCATATGACAATATTGTTTTGGTTTACCAAAAAAATAAAAAGTTTGTGTGGGAAAGGATCATCCTTCAATACAACAGCACACACTCATGCTTTTAGACATATAATTAGTTTAGAAAAGTTCAGTAGCTTCATATCTGAGGAGGGGACAAAATTAGCATGAGAGCTCACAGGTTCTGGCTTGTAGGGTTACAGAAGAAAACACATATCGTACTTCAATATGCCGGAGTCAGCTTTTTCCAGGCTTGGAGTTATCTGCCTTTGATTCTTTTTTTCCATACTAAAATATATTATCGCATTAATACAAACGACAGTATTGTACACTAAAAAGTGTAATAAATAAGAAGCAAAAAGAAATATAAAAAAATAAGACGCATAAATATCCATGACTGCACCAGGTGAGGAATAATACTGCCATTGATGAAAACACAGTGGAGCAGAACACAGAGCAACATACAGTAAGAGACACACATAATACTGACAGGTAGAACATGGGTGGATGAAGCTCCTGGGCCTTCTGTTACCTACATTTAGTTACCTGAAGAGACGTGTGAGCGGCCCAGGCTGAGTTACACATGTGCCAAACCAGCTTAGAGAAGGAAGGACACACCTCCATCTTTGTCAGTAAAAAAATGCAAATCTAATTATTAGCATCAGCTGCTGGGATTAGAAAAGAAGCTACTTATCTAAAATCCATGACGTGAATCTGTGGTGGCAGAGGCGGAAAGCCAGAGGCAACAGTATTCCGGCTTATTGGTCAAACTGAGACCCAGCAATACCTGATTGTAGCTGCGAGGCTTCAACAGCAAGATTCAATGGCACTTCTGACATGCATGCTTCTGTTTAGTAGGTTTTTGCATAAGG